GAGCGGCCCATCTCTGTGGATGTCCAGCCGACGCTCTCATGGCCATGGCGCCCGCCTGCGCCCCGGGCATTTGAAGATCTGTCATGGGGCGAATCTCACGTGAAGAGGTAGCTCTATGAAGGGTACGTCTTGATTGGGGGCCGTGCTGGTCCCCCTGTGTCGCTCGATTGTCCATATGAGCTGCATAGGTTCTGAGCGATGCTTCTTCCGCCTTCAATGGCGGCCTTCCTCGCTTCTTGTGCGTAACATCAACACAGGTGGCCTGCTCATGTCAGTCATGGATCATAAAATAGCAGTGCGCATGATTTCGCTGCCTTTTCTTGGGGGCAGTCAGAGGTTCAATGCTACCCCTTCGAAATCCGATAGGCTAGCGACTAAAGAGATATGATAATACTCACTTCTTTCCCTGACAGAACGCATCTTCGACATGGCCGTGCCGGATCGCATCCCAGGTGCTTCTTCTTACAATTCACGCATGCTGATGCAACATGGGCTTTGGTGCGTCGGGTGGGCTTTTGCGGCAAGGCCCGAGCCGTTGTACCGGGAGGGGAGGTTCCAAAGGAGGGTTGCGCATATGCTGTTGGCGTGGCTTGTGGGATGCCCTGGCCTACCAGCGATGGTGGAAGTCGCGATGAGGCGAAGGCGTCGCCCACCGAAAAGGGTTGTCGCAGCACTTCGTCGGCTGAGGCCGGGGCCACACGTTGGGTCACAGACTCGTGAGTGGTGACGGCGCCAGCAGGTCCTGAGGGCAGGGCCGGTCCCGACAACCCCGCGGATACGGAAGTTGCAGCGGTCACGGTTGTCGCGGCTTGAGGCAGCTCTGGATGACCAGGGCGCCTGACGGGTCCAGAAGTGTCCAGCGGGTCGTCTGCTGGGACCGAACCGGACATAGAGCGAGGGAGAGGCAGATCCCGCGGGGGATATCGACGAGCATTTGTCGACCGAGGCAAATTCAACGGCAGCCGCTCCGGGCCCGAATCAAACCTGGGGTGTCCAAACTCTGTAGCGATGAAGGAAGAAGGAGGAAGGACTAATGATTGCATCTGATAAACCTTGGTCCCGTTGACAATGGAATCACTGGGGAGAGGATGGGTTCACAAGAGTGGAAGGCGATCTGGTTCGGATCTTAAAGTAGGCAACATAGTATCTGGTCCTCAGGGCCCTTTTTGATTCTTCAGTTCGTATAGTACTGTCCTTGGGTTGCGGTGTGTTGTTCAGTTGCCAGTCATCATTGAAACCTCACGCTTGCAGGTCCGGGAGGAGCACAGGGAGCTTATAATCAGTCAGTTAAGGATCACTATTGGAGGAGTCAGAAACTAGGATGCGTCGATCAGCAGAGGGAAGCCAGATCGTGACAGCAGTTTTCCATAGCTTCGATGGTCCCCATCCTGGGATGATTTATTGCAGCATGGTGGGCGATCACTGGGGCCCAGGGAAAATGCACGGAATGGTCATGGGCGAAAACAAAAAAAAGCAATAATTCAAGAAAGCAAAAAGGCAGCAGCCAGACAAGAAGCAGCAGCAAGAAGAACCAAGTTAGATGCAAATAAATTACACCATTTGGGCGTACCTTACCTTTCAGTACACCGATGAGCGTGTAGGGCTTAATTCTTTTTTATTTTATTTTATTCTATTTTATTTCTTTTCTTTTTCCCTTTCTTGAATATTTTTATTTTATGATTTCTTCGCTATTTATTTTTTTTCCCTTTTCCTTTTTGGATTTACTCAGTTTTCCTG